AATGATCCGAAAATCACTGTATGAACATGTAAAAGAATATTTCAAACTATATTTTAACAATAGTTGATATATAACTAAATACATTTTAGAATTTTTCTGCATTAAATTCTATGTTATGTAATATAGTATGGAAAAAGCAAGTCTGTTCTATGTGTGTACAAATGTTTCGTATGAAGGACAAAATCATCATTTTCCTCAGATCAGTTGTTAGTTTCTTTATTATATTTATTACATGGCTATTACACTAATTTTATTTCAAAGGTTTGCTATTTCGCTAATTGACTCTTTCATGAAGTTGGTTTGTTATTAACCGGAAGAAGATCAAGACAAGAAAGTGATCAATGTTGTGGAAACGGGTGAATTAATGGGAGGGGTTGAGTTTCAAGAAAACCAAAACATCCATGAAGAAGAAAATTAAAAGTACGAAAATGGAGAACGTTATTCTAGAATTCACAATCACCAGAAAAACCATACCTCAAAGTTTTTGGCAAGACTAAAACCAAAGATACAACAATACAGTTTATATAAAGTGTCTTTAAATTGGTAATATGTGAATCTCTGATCTTTTTATTCCAGAGAATCCCTAAGCATTTTATGGAAGATCATATTCCAAATGAGTCTAAGATATTCATGTTTCACCACCCGAATGAGAACGGTTCATGGAAGGCGCTTTGCTTGGTGAGGGAGACTCGGACAATCTTCACATGGACGGTGAAAAATGGCACGAGAGTACATAAATATTTGAGTTATCCCTTTAATTTTGTATAATATGTGGCTTATTTCTTATGTTTTAACATATTCGATCTAGTGTCTTAATTTTCTGAAAGCTTTGGTATATTTCTTAGATTCTCTTTTAACAACTTTTCGAATTGAGCAATTTGGTTTAGTGCTTCTATTTAAGATGTTTGTTTAGGTTGTAATATCGAATTTTAAGCATTTTTTCCAATTATATGGAACAAGAATAGGACGCGCGTTAATATGCAGGTAAACATTTTAAAAAAATATTAATGTCAAAATTTAAGTTTTAATTAGTAACCCGTTTAATTACAAAAATATTTTGAAATATTTAAACATGGATCTCAAACAACTAATGTTTAATTAATATCTTAATTTTCATGTCACAATTTATATTATCCAGGCCGAAAAATATTTATACATAAATAGAATTCAAATCATATTCTTAATAATAAAAAAAAATATTCTTACACATTATGAATTTTTTATATTAACTATATGATAAAATCTCATAACAATTAAAATATTATAGGGTTAAATTATAAAACAATAAGTTAATGTGAATAATCTCATAAAACCTAATAAAATATTTTATAATATTTTTATCAAACATTATATATAAATTTATGATTGATAAATGTCATTGATGCAATCGTTTTATTTTTCATATAGATCGATATTTGTCAAATCTTACACTTTTGGATCTTAACATTAAATATATTATTATTATTTTATAACATGTATATATTTTTAGAGAAATTTCAAAAAATGCCACTTTTCAAGTGCTACTTTACAAAAATGCCACACTTTTGAAATCTTTACAAAAATGCCACTTTTTCAAAATTATTTTTTCTTTATATCATTTATNTTTGGGTTANTTATGTTNTATTANGNTTTANTTANGAGNGTTTAGGNGGTTTTAGGNGTCAAAACATTTTTTAGGATTTAGAATTTTAAGATATAGGCTTTATAAATCTATAATTAGTGGCATTTTTGTAATTGCCCCAAATTTTATTTTATATAATTTTTTTGACATTGAAAAGTATAGGTAGAAAATTTATATTTTTTTAATATTCTATAACTATGTTTACAAAGTAAATATGTTTATAGATTTTTTTTTTGTATGTTTGTGCATATAAACTTTAACATTGAGATTTCCATATCCTTTTTATTTTTTTTTTATTTTTAATTTTTTTTGTTTTATCATTCATATTTGTTTCTTAATTTAAATTTATATTTCCTCTCTACTTTTTTTATTGTTTAAAGTTTAATTTTTTTTCCTAATTTTGTTTTTGTAATTTGTTTAAACTATTTTAATTATTTAGCTCTTTGGGATTATTATAAAAAAAGAATTTTACTATTTGGTTAGTTATTTTGACAATTATTTTGTTCGTTTTCTATTTTTAATTTTACATTTTCTTAATTAATTTTAAG